TAAAGGTAGCCCCAATTATTACTGACTTAAGCATCAGAGTGTCTACCCCGAGTTCCACCTCGGGGCTTTGTAGGTCATTCCGGAGTGCAAGCGCGGACTGAGGAAGGACTTCTGGTTTGGTGCAATTACATTGGCGCCGTCTGTGGCCGAGGTGCCACATCCTGATGCCTATGTCCTCCAAGACTCTGAAGGAAAAAGAGTTCCTAGAGTCTGGAATATCAACAATTTGAAAAAATTTTACCCCTAATAAAATTCTTTCAAGTGATCTATGTCTTACTGTTCTTTACACTTCTTACTTCGTGTTTGTTCAGATTCATTTTACTTCTTATTCTATGTATTCGAGGTCAATTAGTCTTGGAACCTCATTTTTTATTAGTAAATGTCACTTCACATATGAAGTGCTTTATTTCCTTTTAATTCATTTGCAAACAATGTCCTTGTTCTCAATTTATCTGAAGTGATTTACTTCTTTGTAATTCGTCTGAAGTGACTTACTTCCCTTTTGTTTATTTCTGAAGTGGTTAGCCTTCTTTCAAATCACGTCTCAAGTACTCTCAGTTCTTCTATTAATAAAAAATAACAAAAATATAAACCAAACATAAACAAACATATAATTCCATTTAACAAAATAACAGTGTTACAAACTGTCTAAATTTTTTACAAAAAATTAAAAAATAAAATTATTTCTCCGTTGGGAGAGGTGGCTCCACTGGCTCCTGCTCAGCTAGAGGAGGTAGCTGTGTTGGTTGCTACTCGTCTGGCAGAGGAGGCTGCTCATCGTCGGAGGGAACTGGATGAATCTCCACTTCTGGAACTGGTTGGCTCTCATCCACTTCAGCTCCCTCCACTCCTGCCTCCATCTCGTCTTCCTCTACCTCTGCCCCTTCTTCCTCCACTGCAACGAACTCGAAGTCGAACTGTGGAGGGAAAACAGCACGTCCGTTTGCATCATCCTCCCACCTCAGTTTAATCTGAGGACGGAAGTCTACTGACATGCTCTCACCATCTTCCTCCACCCCTTCTTCTTGCTCTCCGAAGGTGATCTTCGTAATATCCACTTCGGGATATTCTGCCTTCACCTTCTTCCTGCAGTCCATGAATGCAATGATGGCAGTGGGTAGCCAATATAAGTTGACGATGTTGTCAAACGAGCTGGAGCTAATGAAGTTGCTGATGTGCTCCTTCATTCCATTATGCACCAAGGTCTGCACATTCTGCTTCAGCTCCAAGAAAGCCTCCTTCGTCAGCTTTAGTTCTTGCGCCAGAGCCTCACGCTCGCTTTCAGAGATCCTTCATTTGCTCTCTTCAAAGACGAGCTTGGTGCTCAGGGAAGACCTCTCCTGCTCCAACAGCTTCACAGTTGGAACCACCTCATTCAGCGACTCTTGCAGTTCTTTATTTTTCTTTTCCAGCTCCTCCTTCTCCTTTTGCAGCTGGTCACACTGCCTCTGCAAGAGTGAGCGCTCCTTCAAGCTCTCCCTGAATTCCCGGGCTAAACCATTCACCCAGCTCGCGCTCTGCAAATCAAAGCAGAGGTTAAGAGAGAAAGAAGAGAAGACAAAACAGATTAACTAAACAACATCAATACTTTAACATACCTCTAGAACGTGCTTCACAACGGATGCTCCACCATACCTCAAAGCTTCCTCCCGCGCGTTGCGTCTGTCCACTTCGGGGAAGGTGTTGTTGATGAACCACCTAGCCCCCGTCATGTTCTTCGCCTCAAACAGGCTGCTCTGAGGCCCCAGTTGGGGAATAGGGCCCTTTCCCTTACCAAGAGCTCGTACCTCAGCCCCCTCCTCCAACTGTCTGAGCTCAGGGTCCAGCTCAACAGGAGAAGGCTAAGGTACGAACAGAGGGACCTCATTCCCCGTCTCCTCCTCCACCACCTTCTGCTTCTTCTACAGTGCCCTCCTCTCCTCCCAACCCTTCCTCTTCAACTGTGGCACCTCCTCCTCCGTTTCAGCTGAAGTTGTGGCCACTACCTCCTTCCTAGCCCTCCCTTCATCCACTTGCTTGGTTGAAGTCTTTGACTTCTTCCTTGGCTTCTTGGGGATGACCGCTCCTCCAGCAGTGTTTAAAAATTGATCCATTTCAGCTGCAAAGAAAGAAAACACAATATTAATCACAGTTCTATACTCTACATTCAGTATTACAATGCAGAATTAAACCAACCTTCACTCAAAGCGCTTGGCCCATAGAGCTCAATGGCTTCTATGCATTGTGCGCTGGTGAGGTCCATTATGTTTAGTAAATCCCCCCCTTCCTCACCAACTTCCTCACTTCTTCCTCCTCATCCTCATTCAAACTAAACCTATTCTGGTTGGCCCTTTTAGCCTTCCAGGAGGCTAGCTCCCTCACCTCGGCATCCCCCCTCCCCCACTCCGTATCATCCACAAAAAGAATTTTTCCTTCCATCCTTTAATGGATGAAGAACCTGTAGTAAACAAAGACCTACTCTCCCTATTGGCTACCCTAGGGGTGAAATAATACCACCCCTTATCCCTCCTACTACCCCCCTTCAAGACAAAAAAATACTTAAACATATTTACAATTGGCACACTAATCCCTTGAGCTCGGCAATAGACTAAAAATCCTATTATTACCCTCATAGCATTGGGGACTAATTGTGTCAACCCTATCTTATAATCTAATAACAATCCTACCAACAACTCAGGAATTGGAAACCTCAATCCCGCTATCAGATAGTGGGAATATATGGGCATCCAATGGTCCTGAGGAGCAGAACACGCTCTCTCCTCTACCCCAGCTGGCCTAACTAGCACTCGAGAAGAGATCTCGTAATTTTCCACTAAGTGACCCAGGCTATCCCTGGTCCTTAGTTCATACCTATACTGCTGCACCTCTTCCACTATCTCGGCGTTCACATCATAATCCCTCTCGCCTCTACCCTCTACTTCTACTACGGTTATGGGTATGCTATCTCCTCCAACCCCTACCACCTCATTACCCCCAACCTCTACTACCTCTCCCTCCCCTACCTCTATCACCTCATCTCCTCTCACCCCCTCCACCGTCTTCTCCGAACTAGAGGGAGATGGACTACTCTCTGAGTCCATGCTCCCATAGTCTAGAGGCATCACCTCACTCCCTACTATACTCCTTGTTCCTTCTGAGGACATTTTCTCAAACTCTGCACGAAGTAGGGGGGAGGAATAAGTCAGGATCTCCTTAAAAAAAAAAAAAAATCCCCTTTTGTTGCACATTCAAAATCCTCCTCACCTCTAACCCTAACTTCCTTCAACGGACTCTAAATCAATCACAGAAAGGGAGAAAGAGGAAAGACACTTCGATTAACTCAAAATCAGAGGTTCATATACATTACCTAATTTCAGTTTCGAAAGACTTGATGTAGAGATCCTCAGTTGATGCCGCAGTTCACGCGCACGAAACACACAGTAAAGCTTTTCGCGGAAATTTTGTAGGAAAAGAAATGCAAGTAAACCTCTTTCTGCAGGAAAAATGTCTATTTATACTTCTGGGCAAAATTAGATCTCAACGGCTGAGATTCGTTTAATCTTACGGTTTCTATTAACACCGTTTGGAATTCAACGGCCAACCCCAAACGGCACCGTTTTGAATTCGACGGTTTGTTTTTTAAAATTTTCCTGTTTACTTGTTGCAGTTATCTTTTTACAGCTGCATTTATTGCACACGTCATCCCATGGACAACTGTCAGATTTTTCAGACGGGCCCATTTACGCCCATTTCAACACCTTCGTTCACTTTTGCACATTTTCAATTTTTGCAAGTGTTTCACTTCGGCTCTGGCCACAGCGATCCTGCATTACATGTTTCACATCGACCTCGGTCATTATATTTTATTATGGCTCCGGCCATTACGACCTCGGTCATTATATTTTATTATTATGGCTTCGGCCATTATGACCCCCATCTTTGTACCTAAGCCTAACTCAACACTTCTGTTTATTTTTATATTACACTTTTTAACTTGCATAGTGTTTCGCTTTGGTTATGGCCACAGTGACTTAGTGCAACATGTTTCACTCCGGCTCCGACCATAGAGACATGTGCTTTACTTCAGCTATGATTACTGTGACTACATGTCACATATCCTACCACGGCTCCGGCCATTATGACTCCGGTCATCATTCTTTATCACGGCTCCGGCCACCATGACTTCGGTCATCATCTCTTACTATGGCTACGGCCACATTGACTCCGGTCATTATTTTTACCATGCCTATGGCCACGATCGCTCTGATCACACTCTCTTCTTATCGCACACGGCTATGTATGCATTTGAGTTACAAATTTTATTTCTTCCTTTACTTCTATGATTTATCTGTAATTCTCTTTGCTTATGTACTCCCCTCATTATTCCCCAACAACATCATTCACAAGTGAATGACTTTGGGGGGGGAATAGTGTAAGGACAGGTCCGAGGTGCCAAGCCTCGGACTGCTACAGTAATTCCTTTATGACCGAAGTGAAGGATAAACCCAAAGCTTCCCGCTCAAATAGCTGCATGACAGTAACAATGAATATGCCCGCACCCGATTCCTTATGATGAGCTACACAGCAGTTATGATAGGCATTCTCCCATCGAAATATCTCTCAATTTCCCGGTCCCGAAATAACCGTTTGGAGATACACATCAGATCCTGAATATCTTGCTTGGCATGTCACGTGGGTTCCTCATTGGATCCTATAAATACCCCCCCGGGCCATGTAAAAAGGTAATTGAAACCAACCCTAAACTCTTTTTATCTCCGCCCTAAAGGTAGCCCCGATTATTGCTGACTTAAGCATCGGAGTGTCTACCCCGAGTTTCACCTCGGGGCTTTGCAAGTCATTCCGGAGTGCAAGCGCGGACTGAGGAAGGACTTCTGGTTTGGTGCAATTACAAGAGTTGAAAAAGTTGAGACTTTGAGTTGGGATTGAGAATGAGTCTGAGACTAAGGCTGACA